ATAACATTAAATACAAGAGGTATCTCAGTCTTGGAAATTCAAATTTTCTGATTTGAACACATTTTTATGACCAGAGTGTATGAACATTTGGAGTCTCAAAGACTGTTACATACCTTTCCCAAAAAGCGATCAATTTTCGGTGGTATCACATTACCTACATACGCATCATGCTGGACCGGCAGAAGGAAAGGGGGAAACTAAGAGTGATCCAAACCCAGTGTCCAGACTAGGACGCCAGTCCTACTCCCGGATACACACCTCCAAAAGTCAAGACACAGACCATCTCGTGTTGCACTGTACGGTCACTGCGGTACCGGGGGGATATGGTACAATCCATGAAGCGGGTGAGGCATTCATTGATTGGATCATGATTACGAATTTGGAGGTGTGAGAAACACCATACGCAACTACTACCTACGTACGCCAAACAACGTCAAAAGATAATTCTTCACCGCTACGTTATAACGGCTGTGGTGCACATGTGACTTGCTTATTTGCATATTTAAAAATGCTCTAAAATAATACGTTAAAACCTCTGTATAATTTCGAATTAAACAATACGGTTTCAAGTGAACTAGAAGAAACTATGAAATTCAATCATTAAAATTTATATTTCATTAGGAGATAATGTAAAAATGATGAATATTTCTTCGTCAGATGAAACTATTTTGTTTTGAAGTAGCAAACTGTAGTTAATGATCTTGTAAAAGGAAATCGGAATTTTGAAGATTTTAATTCATTAAATATATTATTATTATAATATTACAGTTATATAGATCCCAAGCAGCTTGGAATCTGATAATTAATGAAGAGTCATTAAAGTGTGTGGTTTATGACCAATTTCATTTTGCTTCATAATATGGATAAAACAGTAAGCTCTTCCGTTATCTCCCAAAAATAACCAATTCAATTTGTATTCAACGAAACAGACCACAGAACGGAGCGAATGGAGATGAAAACAAATCCAAGGCCTCATTGAATAGAAGTGGAAAGAGATCCAAGGCCTCAATGAATAGAAGTGAAAAGATATCCAAATTCCCAGTGACTGATGACAAGAAGAAATCTAACGTGTCAGCGTCTGAAGTTAAAACAGAAACAGGAAGTTTACGATTTCCTAAAGAATAGTGTATGCGAATAGTTTTCTATATAAAGGCAAAATCAGTGGTATTGGCGAATGAAAAGGTGAACTCAGAGAATAACATTAAACCTTTATTTATTCAACTCTTTGGCGGCATACCATTTAAATGGGAGTAGTGTAGATATATTCTGCCAATGTTCAAGTATCTTTGTATTGGATTATTTGAATACTTCGTTGTAATACTTTTAACGTTCCAACAACGTCCTCAGTTCTGGACATAAAGTTATAGAATGGCTTTAAATTAAACTTATGTAACAACATTACGACACTTCAAAGAAAACACTATAATGCACAAAGATTCTAAAAAAAGAGAAATAAGAAGAAAAAATTACCTATAAAAACAACCTTGAATAAGAATATGAGAAAATTACAGCATTAAAACAATATTTTATATTGTTTTATAATAATTTACCTGATTATCTAATGTACGACAACAACGCTTGAAATCCTACAATCCATCTTTTGGTTTCCTGGCACATTCTGCACCCTAGTGGCACAGTGGTAAGTTTACGGACTTACAACGCTAGAAACAAGGTTTTGATACCCTTGGTGGGCACAGTAAAGATAGTCCATTGTATAGTTTTGTGCTTAACTACAAACAAACAAGACACGTTTTAGGCTATGTCTTGTTGATCATATGAACATCTGGAGGCAAGATAGCACCTTTAACATATTTGTAATTACAAGTATTTTATAAACTAAGTTTTAATTGTAAGCTAGCTTTATTATACAATATGAATATGTATGCTGCATTATTTGTTGATAGTCTCATAACGTCAGTACTTGTAATAATAAAGCCCAAAATATTCTAATACTTCATCCAAAATTAATATAAATAATATTTGTAAATCTTAGTTATATGATAATGTAACATTGCACATAAAAAGACTTAATATTACTAAGACGCTGAAATTATAGAAAAACATAAAGACATAAAATACTCACATATAAAGAAAAATAAATATAATTAGAGAGATGGGTAAATACTGTTGAAATTACAATATTTTATAAAATGTTTTGTTGACAGGGTATAAATAAATTGCTCCTTTTAAAATATTTCCTTAAAATAATTAAATCCTTCATAAAATCTTAATTACCTGACCAAGAAATAATATTTCAATTAAAATATTTTCATATCATAAGTTTATGTTTAATTACACAGAATACGTTAATAAACTTTACTTATTGTATTTCTTGCTTTTTTTTCTTTAGTTTCATCCTATATTAGGCTTAAACATACATAAAAGAGGTATGTCTGCGGACTTACAACACTAGAAACCGGTTTTCGATACCCGTGGTGGGCAGAGCATAGATAGCCCTTTGTGTAGCTTTGTGCTTAACCACAAACAAACAAACAAAGATAAAAGAGAATAGTTAGAATTAAAATTCATAAGTGCACTAACAAAAAAAGGCAAGTTAAACGAATGTTACAATACCCTTTTGTTATAAAATTAGTAACGAATGAAATCGACGAAAAAGATGTAATCTTTGAGATATTGTTTTCTATAATATATAAACGAACTCTGTTACGTGATAACTGAAATGAAACGGTTCTCTCACCAACATAATTTCAACATAAAAACAAATACATGATTGATTTCACCCCAGATCGTTAACTCTTTATCTTTTTTTAATCTTCCAGAGACATTCAAGTGAATGTCAACAAACATAACATCTTCAAAAAAGTTTTAAATTTTAACTCATCCTAACTTTCTAATGTGATTTATCGACAAGTATGGTTTATTACCATATAAAACATTTCAGGCTATTCCTAAATGCTAATAAAGATCCTAACTTTCTAAAGTCACCTACAGATGAGCGAAATCCATCACCACGCCAAATATTCCGTACATTGTTGAAATTGTTATTTAATATCCACACTCTGCATTTCTGGCTTTATACAATAACACTATTTGTTTGTTAGTTTCGGATATTCGTACAAAGCTACACGAGGGATATATATGCGCTAACCATCCCTACTTTTGAACTTGTATACAAGAAGATGTGTTTGTTTGTTTCAAAGCATAACCACATTGGGCTATCTACTGTGTCCACCATAGGGGAATCGAGCCCCGAATTTTAGCGTTTTAAGTTCGTAACGCTATCCCACCGTTAATGGCCTTTCACCATTACTCTTATAACGCAACTGGGTCCCAATATAAGGAGCGATTTTTTCGCGCAAGTAAGACTTGGAGCATGGACTCTTGGATTCACAATTCGGTATGCTAACTGTTCGCCACAACCATTTCTAGACAATGAAAATAATTTAAGTTTTATAACGTAGATGAAACATTGGTGTAGTTATGCGATATAAGTGTAATATACGGAACAGTTTTTCTTTTATTTCCTGTTTTGATAAATATAAATTCACACAATTTTGCTCACGCGTTGATAGTAACGGATGTTAATTTTAAAATCGTTTTTAACGCCATCTAGTGAAAACAGTTAACTTTATCTAAGCTGAAAAAGATAATCCGTCATTGGAACTTAATTTGTTAGATTACGATTTATAAGTATTGAACACTCGTTGTTTGATATTATTATCAATAATTTGTAATTATTGAATAACTTCTGTTGAATAATTGGACATTTTCTTGAAACGTGAGCATGAAGTTTTCTTTCCTTTTTATTAAGAGCTCTTCAGTTTTGTGATGATCAAATGGTATAAGAGTTATACGACGGCAAAAAAATCTTGTTTTTAGCATGTAACATTATCCACTTTCACGAAAAATGTGCTAAAACTCAGAACAATAATATAAGCTATGACAAGTAGTATACATCCCACTTTATATAAAAGAAGTTCTCTTTGTATACGGAAGACATTCCTCTTTCTTCGTTTTTTTTTCTTTTTGCACAACAGAAGTGTTTTTGTGATATGATATTCATCCCTTTCTGTACGACACGCATCATTTTTTTTTGTAATGTAGAATATGTCTTTGTATTTCAAGGAAATATTTTTATTTTCACAGTTTGCTTTCGTATTTTGGCAAAAGGGTATTTGGCACCCTAAATGTCCTGTTTTGGTTTTTTTATCTAACGTTTCAAAATAGTTATATCATCAAATTAAAAAAAAATATTTATTAAATTTTAGAATTTAACCTGAATTTGGTATTCTTACTAATTTAAGTACTTTACTAATAAATTGATAATTTCGGTTTCTGTCGAATGTAAGAATATTCAGTTCATATCCCATTATTCAATGATAAATTAGTTCATTGCTTTATTGCTTTTGGAAACTAAAAAAGACATTTAGAGTTTGAATATTCTTTTCATATGAGACATGAAGAAAACTGTCTTTTATTTTTAATAATGATTTTAATAGCATCCTTAAATTTATAATTGCAATTATATTTAAAGCTTATTGTTAAACAGCTAAACATATAATTTACATGAAAGCCTTTCAACCGTTATCTATCGACAGGTAAGTTATATATTAGTTTGATATTTTCAATCGTTATCCCTTTTAAAATTCCACTAAAGTGCATGATACAGTAAATTTTATTACGTTTTAAAGAATACCATGATTTTATTTCTCTAAGCATAATTAAAATATATTGATAATCGCATTATTTTATAAATTTTATGAATTATAAATTTTGTAAAATGAATATGTAGAAGGCAGAAAAATAATGCTTTTTTATTGTGAATCGATACTCCTAACAGGTCACTTCTCAAAATACTTTTAAATACTTAGAATAATATACCAGACATAAAACATTCTGATAAGGGTTGCTAATTCTTTCATCATTAGAAATAAAACATTTTCTTAGTGTATTCAAAGTGGTTCAGTGTAATTTTTATAATAATAATAATTAAAACCATTAAAAAATCATCCTCAAAATTTAATGGCAATTGCTTGAGATTCATAATAATAACACAGTTTATTATGACAAATTACAGAATACACATTAGAATACAAATAACATGAAATATTCCCCTGGAATGTTTTCTGAAATTATGAACTGAGTATGATCTAATTTAGACCGAAAGCTTCTTAACATTACCCAAGTAAACTCTATTTTGTTTTCAAATGTTTTTAAAATATTTTACTGAGAGCTTATAATAATTTCCAACAGATGGCAGTAAAAGTGGAAAAGTCTTCAAGAACCAACCATTTCGATTAAACTAGTTTTTTTTAGGAGGAGTAGATATTTAACTGTTTTTCATATGTTTCATTGTTCACTTAGAATATTCCCTAAAATCTGCTAAACTTGAATGTTGTTTATAACAGCTGATTGCATATAATTTTCCACATTATACCTGAACACCTTTATTTTGAAACTCACAGTAGTTAAAAATCCTTGGCATAATTTGTAGAATACATATGTTTAAATTATAGAATTAAATATATGTTAGAACTTATATTTAATTCAATTCTGTTATGAATAATAGAAATCATTCCTCGTGGTTTCTTGAATGTCAACACATATTATTAACATTTATAATACATAACTTAAACTGAACATTAAGCACAAACATTTAGATTATTTGTTTGTAATTATTAAAACATTCAAGTAATAGTTTATTTCAGATTTTTTTTTCTGGCAATGAAAGTATTAACATTTTAAATAGTAAATGACTGGGATACGCCTTAAGAATGCCATCAAAGACTTATCCAATGAGAACATTGATTGGGTGAGAGGGGAATTGAAGTTGACGTAACTAAGTTGCCCTACCTCTTTTTCTGATCCAAGTTCATGTACACCTTATTTTTGGGAAATTCGATTAAAGATCTGAAAGTCAGCGTAAGCTAAAGGGCTTACAATGCTAAAATTCTGCATATGATCTCTGCGGTGGGCACAGAGCAAATAGCCCATAGAGCAGCTTTGTGCTTACACAAACAAGTATATCATTTGTACACAAAACTTTTTTATTTTATTATTATTACTTTCAAATTAAACTTTTCATATTCTTTAACAATCAGAAAGGTTTATTAAAACACTATTTGGGTTATGATTTTGAATATTGTTTCTGAGTCGAAACATCTCCATTAATCGTCACAAGAAAATTAAGTTGTATACTAACTAGCTTCCAGAATACATCAAAAACCGATTGTGATGATAGAAGTCATTCCTTTAAAATTGTGAAGTCTAGCTTTCGGAATTTAGTATTTATATTCCAGATTATATATGCATATAGCACCATTTGGATGAAAAGATTGCTCTAAAAGGAATTGTAGTTTGAGCTTAACTTATTTCAAGTGAAAATGAAACAGTAATTGAATACAGAAAATTACCCTAATACATAAGCATATTTTCTTGAACTTATATCAAAACTTCTAAAATCATAAACATGATTCCTCATTTTATTTTTTCAAAGATTATTCAAAGCAACCACAAAGTAAAACATATTGCTAACCCAGCCTGGACACATTAAATTTTTCTTTCATGTTTTTACACGTCACTTTTGTAGCCACCATATTCTGTTTTAATGCTTATAAAACATATATTCTGCTTGAGTGTGTTTAAGATTATTAAGTAATATTTGTTTTCAAAATATCGGGAGGATTAACAAGAGAAGCGGCAAATGTTATTAATAATATATCAATATTTTTTCTTTTGTTAATGAATTAAAATCTCTGAGCTTTTACTCTTCAATTAATCAATGGACTTACAGAGTACCAACACACAAATGGATTTCGTTAACTACTTCACCACGTATGTGATTATTGTCGTCACGCTAAAACCAGTTTCACTAAAAGGTTCGGAGGGCTGGTAATGTTGATTATTTTGTGCTGTTTTAATGAATACGTAAGGACTATAGCAGATACTAGTTACATACAAATCATAAAGATTTGGAGTAAGGAATTTATTTTTTTATCATTCGATGTATAACCACTCTTAATGGGCTAGTAATGAGATTAATCAGTTTTCAGTAAAAGGGATATCATTCATTAATACATTATTTTAATTTTAAACCTTAGATTGGTAAAAAAAAATGCATTTTAGAGGATAATGTTTTTCACGAATTAGAAGCTAATTTTTATCTTATAAAGTTGTGTTTATACAATACTACTTATCGTGAGTTTTAACACGAAAAATGCAGTAATAAAAACAGTTAAAAGCACATTATTTCTTTTAAGCAACGAAACATGATAACGTTTCTCCTGTTTTTTGTTTTTGGTTTACTTTTCACGTATCTCATTAATTATCACCTATATCAATTTATCATTTATCCCGTACATATATATAACTATATATATATATACTTAACGAGTGAATAGTATCTTCAAAAACTAATGATTTGTACTTTTTGTTGGCAAATAAACTAGACATTTCATTTGTAATAACTTTAGTAAATTGTATCTTCATAATTACTACAACAAAAGAGTGTTCATCTTAAGTAAGAACCTAAGCCTCCAAAAGCTTATCTTGTTTTGTTACTTACTAAATTACTAGTGTCGTTGGTCGAGTACTGTGATTTTAAGTTTTGAACTCAAAATAATAAACTGCACTTATTATATCATCCAAACTAACATTAATATAAAATCATTCAAAGCAGAGTTAAGTCATATCGTGTTATAATACATTTGCCATAAAGGAAGAAAATGTTATCCTATTTCATTTCTTTTCGCTAATTGGGTATTAGAATTGTTTTATGTTGTTGTTGTTTTTCATTAAAGTGTATCTGCTTTAATAGGAAAGAGTTCGTTAGCACTGGCAGATTTCAACTAAAGTTGTAGCTAATATATTTTGTGTCATTCGTAAGACCCAATTACATCAGTATTCTGTCAGAGCAAAATATTCATTATGGAAAGAAATCCATTTTTGAATACATTATTTTTGATAAGAATATAGCATAATTATATGAAACTAAAATAAAAAATGGTTCGTGATGTTATCTAGCAAAATTTAAGTTAATTTCACTTTATATTTTATAAAAAACACCGTGGGATTGATCTGGTTCATTCAGCTGAGATAATTAACATTGTTATTGTACCCAACTTCACCAAAAAGTATCAATAACTGATGATCTATTTTAGATTAATTTCAGATTCTAGCAGAATATTTATACTCCATCTGTTTAATCTTTATTTAACTCTATATTCTGCTCGTTTCTGTTATGCTGAAGTTTCGTTTTCATGTTTGCTAAGCTGTGGCGCCGTATGACATACTTTAAAGAAGTTTTTAGTAGACTTACACATTTTCTAATTCAGTTATGTTTTCTCGAGTTTGCATAAAAACTAAAGCCTTATTTAATTAAAATGTCTGTGTGTTTTTACAGAAAACGAAGCGCCTCAAAAGTATATAATCACATAGAACATTTTGCTTGATTCTGATCTTGCAAGATAAGTATCAGCAAGACAATGAGTAAAGCAATGAAATAAACAAATATTATTAGAAATAATTACGTCAGACGAAATAAAATCAAGATGTCACTCTTTTTAGTAAAAATAACAGCCTATAAAGTAATACTGATGTATTAAAGTACAATGAAAAACAGCTACATCTTAATTTCTTGAGTTTTCATTATGGAAATCTCGTGCCCAGTGTGATGAAGAAGAGGCTGAACTTCAGGAGTGGGTTTTTCCTTGGGCTGATCTTGTGCCTGGGGTGTAGGCGGAGGTGGAACGTCTTGAAGAGTGTTAGGAGATGTGGGGATTGCTCTTATGATCTGTTTGTTTATTGGCCGAGACGGTAGTCTTTCGTTAGGTGTTTTTACCTAAAGCAACAAAACAGAAAAATATCAAACAATCTGGTTTTCAAACTACATTCTGTATATTTTAACTTAAGTTAACGTTTCCCATGTTTGACAGGAATTAAAACTCAGCCATGAAACTTATTGCCCTATTTGGCTACTAGTATCTATCTTAATATAACAAATAGCAGCAGGAACAAAACAAAAATTATTATTAAAATATGACGTTGCTATATCCCTACATTTAAAAAAAATACTCAACCGCACATTTTCACGTCGGCTGATAATATTCTTTAGTTTGTCAATAGCTTATTGAAAATACAAATGTATAATTTGTTTTTATAACACATTTTACAATATTCGTCATAGTTTGTATTTTTTGAGCGCTTTGAACAAAACAAAGAATAAACCTTGTAATTTTTCTTGTGGAGTTTTGCTTCAATCCTATATTTGTCACGTTGATAAAATACACCAGCGAATATGAGAACGTTTAAGATGAGAAGCGAGCACCCAACAGCAATAGTTACACTGAGTGCTGTCGAATAGCTCGTATGTCTCAAGACTGTAGCCACTGTGTCAGAACCATTAGTTGAAATTGAATGGTCTTCATTTGGAGCAATTGTTAGAAAAACGACATCATCAGTCTGCTTGAAGATTTCACTGATATTCCACACTCCAGCCAGTGTCGGCAAAGGCAATCCTGGGTATACTGGCAAAGATGTTGTAGTTACTGGAAATCCTTGGGGAAAGGGTACCTGGCGGACTATACCGTCGTACAGATCGGCATTATTATGTTCGTTCAGTAAATGGTGATACGGCGGAACTCCAACGTCGCTCTTGTCTAGCTTGGGAATAAGGTGAAGCCACAAAGACATACGGTGAGCATGGTAGTGGTCACGAATTTTTGGTTTTATTCCTAAAAAATAGCAATAACATGTGCTGGTCAGGGGGCCTTTCTCAAAATATTTCAATTTGTATTAGTACAGCTATTTCTAGGTACAATCTGAAAAATGAGATAATACGGTCCCTCAGGATTTAAAATTTCCGTGTGTGTGTTTCATAGTAAAGCTACATCGGGCTGTCTGCTATGTCCACCAAGTGAAATCAAACCCCTGGTTTTAGCGTTGTAAATCCGTAGACTTACCGATGTCCCACCGGAAACTTAAAATTTGAGATTTCTTTGTTAGAGAATATCTTCAGTACATTGTTTGACCTTTAATTAATCGTCTTCTTGATAATTTAGTTTTAAAGTTACTATTAAAATGTATATTTCAGTTTATTTGAAAACGTATATTCATAAACATAAGTTACATCCATTTCTATCACTTAAGCTACATTGTGTTGAAAAATATATATATTTTGTTTTTATTTCCTATAATCGCACACATATGTCACTAAAAATATATATGTGTATACACACACACATATGCCAGTAAAGATATATATGTGTATACACAAACACACACATATGTCAGTAAAGATATATATGTGTATACACAAACACACACATATGTCAGTAAAGATATATATGTGTATACACAAACACACACATATGTCAGTAATGATATGTATATATATATATACACACATGACAAAATAAACTCAGATTTTTACTCGGTGTGGTGACATACGTTGCCTGTATAAAAGTCAAGTAGCAAGATGCTCTTTCTATTTTATTACAACGCCCTCTTTTAAATGTTGAATTATTCTTCAGTACAAGTATAGTTTGTACTAATACGGGTGGTGATTTTTAATGATACCAATTATTTGTTTATCAATAAGGTTCTATACTTCCAGTTTTCTGGGTCTTATGGAAACCAGCCAGCAGAACCTAAACAATAAATCTGGCAAGACGTCTTAAAGTAATTACACTTAAAATGATGAAACTAAATGAATGATTTCGAGTTCAAATAAGCGCTTTGTTTAATAAGTATAGCCTCTTTATCTCTTAAATCATTCTCCACGCTCATTAGCACGACTTTCCAAACGAACGACCTTGTGATCTTACATGTTATATTTATGTGAGTTAACAACATTCATATTGTTCTCATAAGTAACCAGGATCGCATCAAAATCCAAAATATAGGTAATGCTTAATTGTTTTGTTTTTCGTTTGTTTTTAATTATGCACAAAGCTACACAAGGGCTATCTGTGCTCTGCCCACCACGGGTATCGAAACCCGGATTCTAGCGTTGTTGAATATAACAATATTGAACGAAGTTTCATAATGAGAAAGATCTTAGAAAAAAAAAAGACCACTGTAAATTCGAACTGGACTTTAAGAATGGATTCGTATTTGTATCGTTATTGAGTACAACGTTCATACACAATCTCTCGAAGGCAATAGCAAAGGAATCTAAAGATCGCAAAAATTATCTTTGTCTTTTTTTATTATAAACAAGAGGGAATCCTCAATAGCCACGGCACTTGAAATTCTCGGCAGGATTAAAGTAAATTAATCTATGAGACCTTTTTTCATTTTTATTAGCTGTGTTTTTGTGCGTCAGCAATACCAAGCGTAGGGCGCGCGTATCCCGATTCGATTTTATTACTCATCAGGATCTGTACGAGCCTACCCTCAAATTGAAATTATTTTAGGCAGGAGTAAATTCAAATATGAGACCTTGGTAGTGGTCAAATATATGAATCGAAAGAGTTTGACTTCCTGAGTCCAAAACTGTAATTATATCTCAAATCGATCAAGAGATGACAGAGCTATGAGCTAAAAGTTTGTACTTGAAAAAAAAACAAAAAACTCAGAGCCATTCTATGAGCTGCTATGTCGATGCAAAAAAATTCCGAAAATGTCTTTGATTTATAAACTTGTGAAAATACGCCATCTGTCCACTCCTGAAATAAAGAAAAGAAAACTTAGAAAAAGTTAAAAACGAGCGGAGTGTTTTTCATCCATTGGATTGTAAGTCTTGGGTCATGTCTGTCTCTTCAGAACAATTTGAAGATAAAGAACAAATTATAAACCACAATGAGGAATTTGTCTATAACATATTAAAATGTTAAGAAAACAAGAATACATTAGCTTAGAAAATATTATTAATTAAAAAAATATTTGTGAATCATAAAAGCTTTAGCATTCTGATAGTATATAGTAACACTATATCACAGGAACATAACAAAATTAATTACAAGGTAATCAATACATAATTACTAGATGTACTTCCGCGAGAGTGAATAAACCCAAAATTAAAAGTAACAAATATTTATATTTCTTGTTTTTGAAGTACATATGTCATGCTATGTTGTAGCCTACAGAATGCATAATTATTCTCATGATACATGGCATGCGGACGTTTTACTGACACTACAAATTGCAGTGTTAAGCGTCCCTTATGTAACGTCTACTGACAACACACTATTATAAAGTAGTGCAAGTGGTTAAAACAGGTGACACCTCCGGGCGCCCTTTGGTCCCCTTTCGGGGAAATAAATAATTTTGACATAGATTTATTCAGAAAAAATAATTAACATTTTTCTCCAACCCTTTCAACTTGGGCTGTTGAAATGGTTCAACTTTCTTTCATAACTACTTCATGAGCAGTTTTTAACTTTTTCAATATTTTAGTAAAAAAGACAAAAAAAAAACGATGGACGTTTGCCTTTCTATAATTTCGAGAAAAATTATCTAGTTTGGCCTTTCAGAATTCCGATGTGATCATTTTCGATCTTGCTATCACGAAATTCCAGTTTATTATTACTAACTCCCTATATTACCAAAAATAAATACCGCTGTAATGAGCTCCACAAGTATTGATTCCACAGGTATTGGGATTCTAACACGTTTCTTCATCATCATAATGATCACACATATCTTAACCGCTGTCCAATCAATCAAAACAATCTTGTTGATAAGGTATGTGGATGAAGTATTTGTTTCTTTCTACTTAAAAAAAAAGTAATCTAACTTACTTGATTACCTCAACTCAAAGCACACTTGCATTAACTTCACTTGTAAAACTGAGGTTAATCAATATTACATACTTTTTAATAGATATTCATAAATTATAGCTTGCTTCATTGATTTCTTCAGTCAATTTTTTTTTTTCACTTTGGGTACAAAGTTATTTTTTTTTACTCAACAGATCTTACAAACTCCTTTCATGTAGCTTCGTTCTGACATTCTTCTTTTTTACAACAGCCTTATCTAAATCCACGGTTAAATTTTCAATGGCATCTTCTTTTTGTTTGTTTTGAATTTCGTGCAAAGCTACACGAGGGTTTTCTGTGCTAGCCGTCCCTAATTTAGCAGTGCAAGACTAGAGGGAAGGCATTACCACCCACCGCCAACTCTTGGGCTACTCTTTTACCAACGAATAGTGGGATTGACAGTCACATTATAACAATCCCACGGCTGAAAGGGCGAGCATGTTTGGTGTGACGGGGATTCGAACCCGCGACCTGCAGATTGCGAATCGAGCGCCCTAGCCACCTGGCCATGCCGGGCCATCTTCTTTTCATCAAACTAACTAAGTGTCCAAACTGATTTAACAATGGCATTTAAATCTTCACTAAACCTGAAACTTTTTTCCGAAACGGTGATTACTTTCATATTTCACTGGTTAATGAGACCCGTATTTTTTCGTGTGTAAAGACTGTGTGATATCTTACGTTCACAAAAAACGATATCTTAAAACCTGAGCTGCTCGTTAACACATGAAATTGCCAACATAAAGAAAACACGGGACATTTGACTGTTTTCTTTAATTTATCAGTTTTAAGTTCTAGTAATTCTACCACTAAATCTTTAACCGAAACATTATTTCATAATTGAGAGACAAAACTCCCAACTATCCTTAATTAGGCACACTTCCTCATTCTGATTAAACTAGTTTCAAGTTTTTGCTTAGTTTTACTTGTATTTCTTTATAATATATATCCATATAAAAGTCAAAGTTATTTCTTGCACTTCAGTGAAACAAGTTTTGTTCTTTGTGCTTATGTCAGTGAATCCTTGTTTCCGAAACTGACTTAAATTATATTATTTTTAAGATGTATCGGTTTTAAATTTCAGACATGTTTGAGTAAAAAGACAAGTGAACATTTGCACTGCTAGAGTATTTTAAGATTTCTGTTTTATAAATGCCAGGCAATTATTATTTTCTTGAAGGCTAACTTTAATCTTACCTATGGAAATATATTTCTGATGAACAGCGTCATATACTGGCCATTCAAACCTATAAAAATGGCCAATTCCTTTATCACCAACTACATCACGGTGAAGAAGAGGAATATTTGGATCCCTTCAAGCAGAAAATAAGCATCAATATATATATCTAAGCTTTAAAAAACTTTAAAAATCAAATACAAGCAAACACTCCTTGAGGATAACATTAAACAATATAGGAGCTTCAAATTTCTTAAATACTGAAACTGATAAACTGTTTGACGATCTGTTAATGGAAGATTTAAGAATAGTTGTATTTTTTATGATGTTTTGTTGGATTTTGAAGCTATTACAATTAGTTGAAAACTTTTACGAGACACTGAAGTTCAGCGTTTATCAAACCGTAATCTTATTTCTTATTCATAACATATACTTACTATAGAGTTTACAATTTTTCTTAATATTAAAACAAAAATGTACTAAATGGAACATGTGAGATATAAGATTTTCATTAGGTTAAGTATAGTGGAATCAATTGTAGAGGTAACACAAAATACTCACATATATTAAATTAAACTAGTTTTCCACAGTCGAATGAAAATTAACTTCTACTTTGTACGCATAGTCGTTCCTATTGGCACAGCTTTAATAGGCGTTCCTGTTGGCATAGCTCTATTAGTCGTTTCTGTTGGCATTGCTTTAATAGTCATTCTTGTTGGTATAGCTTTAATAGTCGTTCTTGTTGTAATAACTTTAATATGGTTCCTGTTGGCATAGCTTTAATATCGTTCATGTTGGCATAGCCTTAATAGTCGTTGCTGTTGGCATAACTTTAATAGTCATTCATGTTGATATAGCTTTAATAGTCATTCTTGTTGGTATAGCTTTAACAGTCGTTCTTGTTGGCATAACTTTAATATCGTTCCTGTTGACATAGCTTTAATAGTATTTCCTGTTGTTATGGCTTTAATAGTCCTTCCTGTTAGTATAGCTTTAATAGTCGTTCCTGTTGTTATAGCTTTAATAGTCCTTCCTGTTAGTATAGCTTTAATTTTGTTTGTTTGTTTGAATTTAAGCACAAAGCTACACAATGGGCTATCTGTGCTCTGCCCACCACGGGTATCGAAACCCGGTTTCTAGCATTGTAAATCCGCAGACATACCGCTGTGCCACTGCGGGCTATAACTTTAATAGTCGTTCCTGTTGGCGCAGCTTTAACAGTATCAAAATTTATCAACCCAGTGTTTTCTTTTGTTCCACTTTATTTGCATGTACAACAACGACACCTAAGTTACCTTAACACACTGGAACTTAAATGAGCAAACATTATCGTATTCATTGTTCGATTTATATCTATAAATTACTAGTTTATAAAATATCAACAAACCTAAAACCTACGTTTCTATTTTCTTGTCTTACCCATATTTGGCGAAATTTGTCCAATACATCATGACAGCCATGGACAGCGTTACTTCGGCGTGCGTGAAGTTTTGCTGGAAATACGACAGGCCTCCGTCAACCAGAGGAGCACCGAATACATAAGGAAGCTCTTCACCGTGAACACATCCCAATCTTTCTGGGTAATCTCCATGCTCTGTCTGGTGTCCAAACACATAGAAAAAAGTTCTGGAGTTGGCCTTGGAATGGTAATTCACTAGCCGGATGACTGGTGCTACTATTAACGCATCACCTAATGCGTTCGCTGTGTTCTGCCTTATATTCATTGGATGCTGCACAGTTTTAGCCCAGTCTGTGTATTCGTTAACAATTGTAAGGAATATTTCTTGGAGATGGTAGGTACAAACGTTTCTAACGAGAGTGCGTATTAGCTTGTCTCTTCGTTCTGGTTCTATTCCGTATTTCTCGTCTCGAGCCGAAAAATGGTGATAAAATTCGTTTCTAGTCACTCCAACTAAGAGCTCATATTGACTGTACACGTCGGGATAATTTCTCAGCAGTAGCTCTGGGTCGTTTGGAATCACAATTCCGTCTACAGTCGGGCCGAAGGCTGTCAGGTGCTCGGGAACTAATAACTGAACTCGCATGATATCGGATAAAGACTGTTGTCTCATACAGGTCACCAAGAGGGCATGATCTTCAAATGGACACCCAAGAACTCTTGCCAGGTGTCGCGTGTAGGTCACCGCTTCTGGAGCAGTGGCCCACGGACTAAGAACAGAACCACTTTGCAGGATTACTCGTGAAAATAGATCTGTAGTGAGTTAAATAACACATATTACCATATAATGTAACCGATCAGTGAAAAAGTAATAGCTGAAACAAGTATTATATCGAAAAGTTTTTGGTTTTTTTACATGTCAAATAATATTGACGAAGAATAAAAATATTTCGTTTCTGTGCTGTGTAATATTTCTTTCATTACAACTAAGTTACGTTCTTACAATGAAATCTTGTTTAAAGATTTCCCACATAGTATAACTAACTTGAAACTGTAGTCTTCTTCTGTTTATGATATGTGTTATAAAGGGTGGGCCAAAATAATTTTTAAAACTTATTCTTGGCCCCTTTTTTTTGGAAACAGCTAGCATGGTTCATAGGCTTACCAAAGAGCAAAGGATGTTTGGGCTGAAGGCGTGATGGAGAATAGAAAAAAAAACTGTTTCAACATGTGAACAGTTTTGACAGTCTGTATTCTTATTAAAAGTCCTTCTAGCTACTACAAAGAACAATGACCCACGTAGTTACATGCAAAAAATAAATATAATCAAAGTGATCATCAAGATGTTAAATTACCAAACGAGGAAATCTGACGACGAAATGGGACACTGTGTTTCTAGGTTTATAATAGTAATCGCTGCTATGTTCGGAAAATTAGTTAAAGTTCTACATTGCATTGACATGTGAATAAAACTAACCTTTAGCCATTGGAGACAACATTAGTAGATTGACGAGCGCTGCTCCATGGCCATGACCGAGAACCGTCACATTATTCGGGTTACCTCCAAACTCCATAATGTTTTCTTTAATCCAGTGTAGAGCTGCTACTTGGTCCATGAGGCCGTAATTTCCGCGGGCTGCTCCCGTCAGTGTGGGAAGAAATCCTGTAATAATTAAACATAACGCCTACATCGAATTCCGAAGGAACACAAAGGGCTTATTGTACCAACCAGTACAGTCACCTAATGTCAATCAATTTCAGGATAGAGCTGGACTTCAAAGATGTGTTTGTTTGTAATTAAGCACAAAGCTACACAATGGGCTACCTGTGGTCTGTCCACCACGGGTATCGAAATCCGGATTCTAGCGTTGTAAGTCCGCAGGCATACCGCTGTGCCACTGGAGGGCGACTTCAAAGACTGCATTTGAAGTTGAAATAATATATTTATGTTCCTTTAAACGTTTTACGTAAATTTGAAGTAATAAAGGTTGTTACATATACATTTAGTAGTGCGTTCATGGTAATGTATGTTTATTGATTTCTTTTTTAATGTTTTATTCAACGATTTTCTGAAATAGCATAATTGTGTCATTGAATGAAGAAAATAGCTATTAATAACTTCTCAAGTATAAATAAAATACTTGACACATTAATGAAATAACTAAAGCAACTAAACGTAGATTATAATATTAATAATTCAAAAGAAGGAGCTAAAGAATACAGAATAATATTGAATGATATAAACCTAGCAGCTGAAGAGCACAGCATAATATTGAATGATATAAACTGGCACCTGAAAAACACAATATAATATTGAATGATATAAAACTAGCAGCTGAAGAACACAGTATAATATTGAATGATAAAAATCCAGTAACCGTAAACACGTTATAACATTCCTAAATTAAAAATGTAGCTGAATTATTATGATATTTAGTGTATTTAGTAGATATTTACGTAGTATGCAGGCATACCATGTGTTCCTACCACTTAGTTAATAAAAGTTCTTTACATATTGTCTGTAGTCTTATATAGAATGCAAGGTCAAGAGAAATAGCAAATGATCTTTTCCACTGGCAAGTCAGGTGATGCTCCAGGTATAGAACGTCCCTTGTCACAAAAGGAGAGTGACACTTAGTCACGTGAGTAGCACCTAAACATTGAGAATAATGAAATTGTTGTTATTAGTATATAATATCATATTTCTAAGGCTAGTTTAATATGATTTGAGACTATTGCAGCTACTTATTTGCTTTAACCACAGCGATAGCAATATAATAAGTACGCCACAAAATACACAAAATATACTTTGATTGTGTTTGCATTAAAATGAAGTTTGTTTTGGAGTGTTTAATGGTGTACAGTCTCTTCCGTCGCTTAAAACTCAGTAGAGAGTTAAGAGAACTCAGATTGTTGTCTACAAAACATTTTCTGGTAAATCACCCTGCCAGATTACTCTAACAGAAATCAATGAACCTGGGAATACCATAGTTCTAAACTGGTAGCTGAAAAATACAGTATAATATCTGATGATTCCAAAACAGAAGCTGAAAAATATAGAAAAACCTTTACGGATGTAAAAGAGATTGCTAAGGAATACTGTATAATATAATATTCAAGAAACTGGTTTGATCTTAAAGCTAATTAATCAACTATGTTTTTAAATATGTGACATTGATTACACTCATTATTTTTGTTAAATGAACACATATACCAATATAATTTCGACCAAGTTTCACAATCATGGCCACAGTGAATCATGGTCGTATCAGCACACTGGCAAAACTTACTAATTATAGGCGGTAACAACGGTAACTAGAAACTTCACCGTCTTTCTCTCTACTTGTATAAACTTACATAACTTTCTCCTACCGCTTGTACCTTTATAAGTTCGATGTAAATTGTTGGGGATATTGCGTGTGTTTAATATCACAGTGATGTTGTCGAAGACATCACAACACTGAAGAGTACCGAGTATCCAAAGTGTTGCTGAGATATTAGGAAACATCCATTCACTACAGTGTTTATGATCACTTAATATCACTACTTTGTTCATTTTTTATACACGACTTTATGTAATAATTACACATGTAATAGAATAATATATCCACACATGTTTTACACTTTGAGCCATTATTGAATAATTATTCACATTTAATTAAATGTAGATTCAATTTTTAATTGTAATTCAAAAGAAAGTCTTTCTAGCTTAGTGAATTAAAACTCCACATCTAAGAATACTAATTAACGTGTTTAGTACACAGAAATAATCAAAATATGTAACTACAGAAGTTATTTGGGATAATGTAAAAGCTTGATAGGTATATTGCGGCTTATGTTAATCATGAGGGGCCTTTGAATCTCAAAACGGAGCGCGGGTAGTTTATGAAATTCTCACTCTCAGCTACTGTGTAAAAATATTGCAAAAATGAATGGAATATTTATCATAAAACCACTTTCAAGGATTTCTGCAAGTTTAAATCATTCAAAAATTATTAATTATTTAAAACTTCCGTGTTGTAGGAAGCTAAAACAGCTAAAATATAGAAGGAAGTACATTGTTAACAATATTTGAGGAAAGTATATGTTATTTGAAATGATTCTTAACAATTTACATAAAATACTGTTATGTTGTGAAATCTTTATCAAATGTAAAATCATAAACTGATGAAGAGGGAATCTTAATGCACATACTTCCTGTTGTGTATTAAACGACAATACTTGACAAAATACCAAGCTAAATATGTTAAAAAATGCTGACTGCTGTAATGCAAAATAAGTACTTATTATACTTTAAAATAATATTAAGCATTATTAAGTTTGTGTAAAAGCGTGTGATAAACATGAACAATGAAGTTTAATAAAAAGTGGGTTTAAAAGCAAAGGTTAAAAGTTCTTAATAATTTGAAATTATTAAATTTTCTTGCTATAATTAGATTACATTATCAACGATTAAAAAGGCATAAATTTCATGGTAATCAGATCTGTTTGTTTTCCTTACCTTTCGTCTGTTTTGTATGTATTCATTTGTATAAAAAGACAACGATGATTGAGAGGTTCATATCTTTACGTTACAAAAACAACAATTGACCTATCTTGACTGTATATACAATAATTAAGACAGCTTTAAAGCTTTCAGAAGGGGGGATTTTTACATTTGCGCTGGTGATTCCTATAGTCCCCAGGACGTGACAGCATATTGTTTATAGAACGCGATTTGATTATTTCTAGGACGTAACTGTCCATTGTTTCTAGTACGTTAGAGTACGTTGTTTCTAAAATGTGATAGCACATTGATTCTAGGACGTGACATTGCATTATTTCTAGGATGTGACAGCACATTGTTTCTGGGACGTGACTGTCCAAGTTTTCTAGAACGTGACAGCACATTGTGTTTGAGACATAACTGTCCATTGTTTCTAGTATATGATAGTACATTGTTTCTAAAACATGACAGTTCATTGTGTCTAGAATGTGACAGTAAATTATTTATAGGACATGACAGTACATTGTTTGTAGTAGTTAATGTTGAACATTGTAGTTCTAGGAAAATTCAGGTTATCGGAAAAATAATGATAATTGATTCCATGCGTTTTCCATGTTACAGTAAATATCGCAATACTTGTTGTAGTAGATCTAATGATGGTCAATGCTGCAAATTGTTTTTAACTAGTATTAAGGTTACAGTAAACTTAATGTAGGTCAATGCTGCACATTGCTTTCACAAGTACTTGGGTTGCATTAAGTATAGTGATTATTAATCTCACATATTATTTTTTCATGGGTAATTATGTTTAATACTGAACATTGTGTTTACGCGACTATTTATGTTTCAGTAAATCTAATGATGATTAACTAATTCTGGGCATTGATTTTTCATTGGTAATAAAGTTAGTTCTGAACATTCTTTAATTACATTACGTTACGTCAGGTGATTGACGTCAGCGCGAGAGATGTACAATTATTAGCCATAAAATTGATCCAAAAAATAATCTATCAATAAACTATCAATAAATAAATAGTTTTATTTGTCCGTAAAAAAGTGTGAACCAGAAAACTGCTTAAAGGCATAAAGATTTGTTATAACATAATACAACAGTTTCCAATACGTAAAAATCTAGCTAATACTGATGAAATGGCCTTACAGAATGAATACCACTTTGTAAAAAAATTATAATCAATTCAAACTGCTTTTTATTTTGTCAGTTCCATGTCTTTTCTCTAGTTTTGAATTTTTATTTGTGATACAGTAATGTGTTATACACAATCTTCATTGGGCTGTTTCTTAAACGGTTTACGTATATAATTAGATACAAGCGTAAAAATCGCGTATTTGAAAATCTATTTAGAGATAACAAGTGTGTTTAGTGCTGAATCAATTTTCTTCTTTTAATTTTGTTTTTAGTTATTTAAATATTATGTAGATTTCAAGAATGTTAACCATGTTTTGTAAATACGAAAATCATTTGGGGACAGATATAGAATAATTACCTATTGAATAAGTGTAACGTAGTTAGAGTTTGTTTCAGAGCAAAGCCACATTAGGTTATCTGCTGTATCCACCACGTGAAACTTTAATTACAGAGAAAGATAGACATCATTTCTGTTTTTTTATATTACATATAGATAGAGCGCTGTTTACTCGGTTAATTATTTGTGAATTCAGTAGAGAACATCCACTGGAAATATTTGTTAGTTTGAATTACCACAGTCTGAGGTACAGAAGGTGCAAAATCGCTAAACTATCACTCCTGTTAATAGCACGCGGTGTATTCTGCAGCAGGTTGTTTTGACACACTGCCGTATATCTTGATATGTAAATGCTTATAGTTTAAAGCACATTTTCTCATAAGATTTACTTGTAAGCATACAGGAATCAGAATACATATAACACTTCTACAGTTCAGATGCCTTACATCAGCTCCAGCAATTTAATAAATGGTCCTTAGGTTATTTTACATTGTAATAGTTTGCTGTTATTTCGAAACACGTTAATAATTTGAAGGTCAGGATTGATTAACCGGGAAGTGTTAACAGAGAAGCAGATTCTGTGGTATCTTTAGAACTATGAAAAGCTTTCAGAAAAAAAGAGGAGTTTATTTCCTGTAGGACAACCAGTACAATCAACCAATGTACACTAACAGTGTCGATGATGTTGACAATCAGACGCCACATCTCAACATAAACCAGTTCATGAAAGTATAATGCATTTCATACAGCGTTCCATGAACTCCACGTATTAGGGAAAATGAAGGTGAGGCCTTACCAATGTCTTTTAAGAATAAGAACAATAGCAAAAGGACCATCTTTGATAAGACCCAAGTCAGTCAGATCTAGATCAGAATACTATAGAATAAGACCTAGAGCACAGCACATTGTTCAAACCAACGCTACTCTTAGTTGTCATTTTTTAAGTGAGCTGTACGCCAACTGTAGCAGAAATACATAGCATATGATGATGATAGCAGCGGGCGGATAATGCACTTAACAATGATAACGACAGACGCGATTTACTTATATCTAGTGTATAGAAAAGGAAATCCCGATAATTTTTAACAAGCCACTTCATTTGAAAAAAGTGGTACGTTCAAGAATACGAACTACCTACTCTTAGATAAAAGTTTTAGATAGGCTACATCTCTTTAAGTACAGATTTTTACTATATAAATGGTATTCGTTGTTAGTTTCGGAACTCACTTCCGATCCTTAGAAATAGCAGTTTTTGATAAACTACCTAAAGAATTTGTTTTTAATATAATTTATTTAAATGTTTATTTTGTTTAAACTCAAATTTACACAATAAGCTATCTGTGACGTGCCCACCGTGGATATGAAACCCCGAATTTTAGCGTTATAATCTCGGAAGCTTACCGCTGAATCACTGGAGTAGCTCATAGTTAGTAGATATAAACAAAATGATTTATATTCCCTTTTTTGCTCAAGTAAATTGCTCGGTTTAAACTAAAATCTCTATTTATGACGGTCATTCAAAATACACAAATATTTGGTTTATTATAGTGTTAAAATATCATTTTTAAAATGTCTCACACAAAAGATGCATAAAATCTTCGGAACAATCATTGACCATTTATAATTCTCTCCACCAACTACTTTTTGTGTGCGTTTCTTTGGAAGGAGTGGCATGCTGTATTTATGTGCTATACGTACTTAATTAAACAATGCTACGATAAACAAGTACAGCTTTACTAACACACAAATAGAAACAACTGTATTTACACAAAATTTAAGAATACATAAAGATATTGAAATTGAATATTCTAGCTACAGAATATTCACCAAACCCTTGACAAAGATCTTGAGCATGTTTTTGGTCATCAGTTAAAAAAAAAGTTTAAAAACTTTAGTTAGATGTATGAAATATGGCAGTTTTACATTATTTATAAATATATATTAATAATCTCTTTTTCGATAATTCAATATATATATATATATATGTGTGTGCAGTCAGCAACATAATTTTTTTTAGTAAATGACAAATATTTTGTCTTTAAATGAATTGTAATAGCCAAAAGATTTTGAATTATATAAATATTGTCATTTATCAACGAATAGGAATTTAATTAGATACTCACCTAGCACTCCTAAGCGAAAATTTAAGGTAACAACAATGACTTCAGAATGACTAGCAACCACACTGCCATCATATATATTCCCAGAATTCCATTCATAAGACTCTCCGTGAATAACTACGATTACTGGAAACCGAGATGTTTCTCTACCTATGAAAAACAACCAATAGTTAATGAACAGGTGACAATGATGCTCAGGAAGTATTGAACAAGTAGCAACAATTCAAACAAGTGGTATTAATAAACAATAAATTATAAACATGTCACAATAACCAGAGAGCAAATGAAATCAACAAATAACGAAAAGTAATAATATAAATTTTTAACAAACAACAATACTTTATCAATAAGTGTACACAATAAAAAATAATTATTGTTGAAAATAGGCAGAGAACAACTGGGGCCAATACATAATCAAAACTAGCGAGATAAACCGTGAACAATAGACAATATTTAGTGAACTGGTGAAAAACAATAAATGAACAAGTGGCAACACTAAATAATGGAAACACTCGACAATAGTTAACGAACAAGTGAAATCTATCAACAATGTATAAAAAAGACAACAATAAATAATGAGATACTGCGGTAATAAACATTGAAAAAGTGATAAATAAAAGTAATAAAAATTAAAAATATAGATTATTATCAAAAATTAATCAAAAATGAACTAAATAAATAATGAACAGTTGTGAAAAATTACACCAATAAGTACTGAAGAAATATATAAGCATAAGAGATAAGAAGAATAAATAAGACAATAACGAATCAACAGAAAAGACAATATTCAACTAACAACTGATAACAAAAGGATGAAAAGTAACAATAGAAAATAATTGCTTCAAATTTCATTAAATAATAAAAAATAGAAAAAAGTAGAAATAACACATAAAGAACAAATGACGACAATCAATAAATAATTGTTAGAAACTGATAATGAAAAAATATCATTAGATAATTAAAAAGCAACAATATTCAGTGTAAACGTAATAGAAACAAATGATAAAAATAACACAGTAGATAATTATTGAAAGACAATATTTAAATGAAAAAGTGATAAATAAATAGCTAACGAATGACAATATTTAGAAAACATTGAAAAGTAGCAACGTTAATAATGACAAGTGATAATATTCAGTGAAAAGTACAAACAATAAGTAATGAAACAAATACAACAACAGTTAATAAGTAACAAAACTATAACAATACAAGTGGGAAAATATTTAAGAAAAAATTGGAAGTTTAGGAATGGGTACTACAAAAAGTGAGGAAACAAGGTAGGAATGGGCATGATGTAATAAAACTTCCTCTGTACAACCTCACAGAGGGGAGAGGTGAAGAGGAATCCCTCGATTCCTGAATACCCTTGATATTATTATACCTAAATACTTGCTACCATTGAAATGAAATGAAATGAAATGACTCGCAAGGGGCGTACCAAAATATGGTGAATGCCTACTTCTTTTATTCTTTTAATCCTGTATACAATAAGACAGGTGGACTATCAATTTAGTTATGCTTATCATACAATAACTAGAGGTTTCTGTGAATCGAATTATTAGAGGCAATACATGTTTATACGACACCAGAAGAATCAGATATTCGTGTGGACCCATAACATATATGTTTTTTTTTCTTTACAACTTGTCTCTCCTTTAGCGATTGAATGAGGAGGCAACAGGATTTCGTACATTAGCTATATACGTGTATTAAAATACTAAGGTAAAATATATCCTAAGAGGTTTCTGTATATCGACGTCATGGATTTGTTACTGTCTATACAGAAGTAGAAGAATCATAGACACACTTTTGTATGTGCCTATAAGTTGTATAGTATCATGAACACATAAAAATGAAGTAGGCATGGACCCGCTGTTGGACCTTGTGAGGTTGCAGAGAAGAAGTTTTATTATATCATGCTCATTCCTACCTTGTTTTGGTGCACCAATTCCTACACTTCCAATTTTTTGTGAAAATATTTTTTCAACTTGTTCATGCACATTTTTCATACAAGGTTACACGATCTTACGCATTATTCATTCACTCATCTGTGTTGATATCCTGTATGTGTATCATCAGTGTGGGTGTGCACCATAATATTATGGTATGTGTAAATATCTGTGCATGTGTGTATGGTGTGCATTCTTTTCATTTAATGTGTATGTACACATTGTGAGTGTGCATGTGGGCTATACATGTGATGGCACACACTCTATAATGTGAAATGTCATTTGGGTGATGTAACGTGAGTTGTGGTTGTGTGCATACACTAAGAGTTGATAAATTAGCTAATTAATTTAATTAACTACTTCATCTAGTTCAGGCAATAACTATAATTTCATGTAGATAAAATTGGTAATGCAGGTTGGCATTTATGAAAGAAACAGGTACTATTCATGTCAAGTGTACCATCAGGTAAACTAAGCACAAATAAAGTTTCAGCTTATCTTCAGTTGAATGGGAAGCTTGTTTGACAGAATGAGTAGCACAGACAAACAGAATTGTAGTCTCACTTCAGCACAAATGGAAGAAATCCAGATGAAATGGACGAAATAACATTTCTACCGAAAAACATTTAGTGATCACCTCAAGCCCAACAAAATATTTGATATATTAAATAGTTCACCTGTAGTGTATGATTGCCCATTCACTAAAGCTAACTGATTCAGCCGCGCAGTCAGAGTTCACCTTATAAACGCTTGTAACACTTTCAACTGGAAAAACATTTTCACTATGAAAAACTGGAAAAATCACCCTCCAACCAAGGTTTATACGCGGCAAAAACTGGTTGCGGCAGTTTGAACTACTTGTAGACTCCCACGCTACGTATTAAATGTTACATGAATGCAAACTTTGTTTAATATACAATAAGTATTATAAAGTCCTTGCAAAAGAACATAGATTGTCGTCTAGCCTACATAGTGAAGCTTCTCTCAAGGCTCAACCTACGTTGGTATACCACATATTACTCACAGTTTCCATATCTTGTCACACAGTGCTGTAGATCGAGAAGACCACACCACCTTCACTGTTTTATTTGATCACACCTATTCAGTATATGGAGTGAGCGAGAGAAGATATGTATTTTAAAATGGCGTCCATGTTCAAGGTATTACCTGATGTACGTTAAATAGCTCTTGTTTTGGTGATGTTTAGTATAGATAAACACTAGCACTAGTACGCAGTCCCTGTGATATTGTTCTATTTGGTGCACTTATAACTGTAGTAAGTCTGTTTGTTACACAGCTAGAAGCGTTCAAAAATGTCAGACAGTCAGTGAGATTGAGAAATTTGAGGTTTCGTGATTTTTCTGTTATCTGCTATGCTGACTTTCTCATGTGGTTGTATGATTTGTATTTTTTTAGTGTGGTTTGTTTATCACCTAAAGGTGTCTATCAATATTTTTGAAGACTTATTATTTGGTTGTTAAAGGTGTATATGAGTTTGTATTGCATGTATTGTGTATCCGCCCCATTCCTACTATAAGTACTACTGTATTTAAGATACCGAATGTCTTTGAACAGTTTATTCATATATGTCATATCTTTATGTCAAAGAAGTATTCAAACAATTAAACTAACTTTTTAATTCTGCAAAATACTTTCAAATGAAAAATTTATGCTTTAAAATTGTCTTTCAATACTGAATTTTCAACAAAACCAATAGAAATAAGAAGATTTTATGAGTATTAAATAACAAACGTAAAAATAATTTTCTTAGGGTTATGAAACTTTAATGTTCATATAAATGCATTAACAGCGATGATCACACTCTACTTTTCTAATACAATAGGAACCAATATCAGGCTTTATTGAGATATATTCATTACTATATTGTCTCTCTGTAGGTACGTTTTCTCACCAAAACTTCAGATATAAGAAATATTATTTATTAATATTCAAACCTCTGAATAATAAACATCGTGAACTACTCTTTAAATTCTCAAAGTTTTTTATGACTATATCTAATATTACAAGTAATACCGTAAACATATTTTTCGAAATATTTCAAATTTCATATATCATTTATGATTTGAATATTCTATCAAGAAACGGCCCCTGGTGTTATTCTCTGTCAATTAGCTAGTTATTATAATAATTTAATTATAAAAAATAATTTTAACAGATATACGGGTTTTTACATTTAATGAAATTTCTTACCTTCATAAATATCTAATTTAAAAAATATATATTTGTATAATTCAGCGTTAATTTTTCAAAACATTTAAAACTTATTATATCGGTTAATAACTAATACTTTTCCCAAAGGTTTGTTTGTTTACCTCGGGTAGTGCTCAAAGCTACACCAGGACCATCTTTGGTAGCCGTCCTTTATTTTGAACTGATACACTCTTGGGCTACTCTCATCGAACAGTAGGATTTGACCGCCACTATTATAACGCAACCACGGCCTCAAAGTGCGGAACGCAATCTTGCGAACCATGGACTCCATGTTTCACAGTCTAGCATGCTATCAACTAGACCACGCCCGGACTTTTCCACAGTCTAGCATGCTATCAACTAGACCACGCCCGGACTTTTCCGAAATACAAAGTATGTTACTTAAATATTATCTTATAATTTTGAAAGAAATATTGTTTATTTTAAATTATGTCTCCCGAATTTAATGCAATGAAGAAACTACATTTAATTTAGAATTATAAAAACAAAATCTTAGAATCAAGGATTTTCAGATGATAAACTCGTAAATCGATAAAAAATACTTCTAGAGAACCTTCTTTCGCACGTTAAGCAATCTGTAATTAAACAGTTTTCAGAAATAGTTCAGCCATGCTAGAAATAAATATATAGCTAAAGAAGGTATCAGGTTAACCAAGCAGGAGCTCCTTGGCCAGAAAAAAGCTCCCAAATCCACAATATACTTTTAAAATTACGACTTTTATGAGCGATCGAATTCATAGAAATACTCACCTATATAAAGGGCGATATGCTGAAACACTAAAACAATGAATTAAGTGTTAAGCAGTTATAAAAAAAGAAAGAAATGCATTGCACAAGGCCCGCGCATTCTCGAATAGGGGCTTAATTTATTGTTCTTTTTTTTCTTAGTGCAATGCCACACAATGGGCTATCTACATTCGGTCCGCCACAAGAAATCGAACTCCGGATGTTATCATTGTAAGATCATAAGCTTACCACTTACCACCTGGGAAACATGAGGCTTAATTACTTATTTAAGCACAATTGATAAAAAATTATGAAACGATAAAGTCACTTAAATTTAACCAATCACAACATCAAAAATGTAAAACTATAAATATTATAATATATTTAATGCCTACAAACTGATTGCTGCCTTGTTCAGTTGAAATATAAAACTCGACCAAAAAACTTTTAATGAAAGCGTAAAATGAAGACATTCGTGCGAGAAAGTGGACAGAGAACATAGCTCAGTTTTATTATGAGCTCCCTTAGGACATAACCCCACTGGATAATCTGGCTATGGCAAAAAAAAATTAATCAATGAAACAACACAATCTTGTCTCGCTTCTGGCCCATCAAACCCCATGGTTCTTATATAGCTATTGATTGAATTGATTATTTTTTTATCTACTCTGTATTTAGATTAAAAAACAAAAAACATACTTTGAGATAAGAAGAAACGAGCGTCAATATTTCAATAACTATGCTTCCAAAGTTCAGCCACTCATGATTATCATATATAAATCCACTGGGTTGACGCGTTATCTTGTGTTAATTCTCGTATTTACAAACAAATTTCGCATTTATCATATTTTATACCATTTAGTGAGACAAGCTGCTTGGAATTTACATTATCTTAATAAAATATTTCGCATTTCAGTTGTCATACGAACCCATGCTACCGACTTACTATGACGCACGAATTCTACACTCACTTAGCAGCTTTAAGTGAAACAACCTTGCACAATTATTTCCATGGAAACCACGTAATTTTTGTTATGAGTTCGCCACCTAGCAAATATCTAAATAACGTGCAGAGATTAAATGTTCAACACATGAAATCTGTATCATTTACATATACTTAAACGGGAATTTTTTTTTAGGGGTGGTGATGACTAATTCCAGTATGCTAAAACTCTAAAGATTATTCCCAAATTATCAGTTCAAAGCTCTATTGTTTTCTTTTGTAATTGTCTGTTTGTTTGTTTTTATAGGCAAAGCTATAGTCTGAGCCCAAATGTGGTATCGGACCTCGAATTTTAGCGTTATAAACCATTAAGTTTGCGGCATTGAAAGTGTGATTATTGTCATAATTTACGTTTGAAAACACTCATTTGTATATGGTTTGATCATCTCCAAGCGCTCAAATAAGCACATGTTCTATAAAATCTAGCATTCGGCAACTTAAATGTATATATCTAAAGTTCTTGAAACGGATTTTATTGGTTGGAAGATTATATATTAATTTTGCCACAAAAAACAGTTTCAAAATCTTTATATATATCTTGAGTAATTGCGTGGGTGCCTCTGATAAGGAAAAGTATTTCAAATTAAATATGCTTTCAATAGTATTTGTGTTTGTTTGACGTTAAGCACAAAGCTACACAATGGGCTATCTGTACTCTGCCCACCACGGGTATAGAGACCCGGTTTCTAGCGTTGTAAGTCCGCAGACATACTGCTGTGCCACTGGGAGGGGGGGGCTTTCAATGGTGAAAAATACAGAACTGAGGATTGTAGTATAAGCTACTAGAGAATTCTTACTGTGTATAAAAGATAAAACGTTTCAGAAGCTGTTTTACCTTCAGTCTGATAATTTAACAACATATAACTATTTTTTCTTAACCATATTTAACTTAGCAGGTTAATTGCACTTACAATATTGTCATTGAAACTTCAAAAACTTTTATCAATTAATAAGATGTTAAGGTTTTAGGTTTTATCCACATTTCTCTCTCTGCCAGGTTTAATGCCTAAGAAAAACCTCGTGGTGGTATTTGCAAATATTAATATCTTGTGTGAATTTTGGTTTGATTATTCTATTCAAATTTGCCTACTTACGCCGTGTTGGAGAGTATATATTCAGGTATAAACAGTCCTCGCTCTGGTTACGAAGAAAAGGAAGAAGGCGTCGCAGGTAAGCCAGACGTCCAGGTGTCATCTTTTTCAAAGCTTCGGTTGTATTCCGAATATCTGGATATTTCTGAGGACAGACAGGGCCAAACCGATCCGCTGTTCTTACTCCTCTCCAAGGGGGAGGGGTGACAGGTGGCATGAAGCGAAGCGACCCTGTAGGCGCCCTGGCATAAGGAATGCCTAGAAACACTTCAGTAGGTCTTAACTGTTCATTAGAAAATATCTTTGTGAAACCTCGCAAAGAACCAAATTTAGTTCTCACCACACGAGAATAATAGCTTCTTATAACAGCAGAGGAATGAGGATGTATGAATGACACGAATGAAACTAAGGTAAAAATAACTATAGCAGATGTTTTTGTCATGGTTTAATCCTCCATCTCTTCAAAATTTATGTATTCACATATATATATGTCAAGAAATTAAAGTTAATGTAACAAGGATACCCACGAGAGTATTAAACTGGAGTGACAAGTGCAGTGGAAGCTCTTCAAGTAGACTGTTCACAGCAACAACACATCACATCAATTCTGGAAGAGAAAGTATACCTGAGGTTATTCTGAGAAAGAAAAAAATCAGTGTATGCTATATTCGATCTTTGACCGTCCGCACGAGAATTAAGAAGGCAAGGTTGTTCACTAACTAAACATTTTTTTTTTGTTTCTGAAACATGCGTTATTAAAAAAAACATTAGTGAAGAGTAACTAGAGCAGCTGGGCTACTTTCATTTTCAATGTGATCTTTATCTACATATAAAATCTTCAGAAACTTAATCAAACAAGCTATTCTACCGATGTTATTTTTGCGAAAGAACCGTCTCTCTATGATGCATTATGTTTACAAAAAACAAAAGGTAAACAGTGTTTAAGACAGTTTAGTATTGCTATACGTATAATCTTTAGTAACTTGTGTTTCCATATACGTTTCAGGAAACTAATAACACAGAAAATAAGGTTCTCAACATTGACTTAAAAATCAAATAATTGGTGTGACTAGGATATAACCAAATCGAGACGAATATATAACATACCCATTTAAGAAGAATTTATTATTGATTTAAATGTTGAGTATTACTTTGTGAAGTACTTGTGAATGTATTTATTTCAGCTACATTTTCTGAAAGATTTTTCTTCTGTCAAAAATCTCATTCTATATTCTACATTGAATTTCTAGGTTTATTCACGAATCCTTAATAAATGTACTTTTGAACCACGAATATGATATTTTACAAATTGAATCATAGACAAAAACACTTGATGTGTAAGAAATCAATTTAGAGAAATGTTTTAAGAAATAGTTTAGATAAAAACACTCTCTTTGTCAGTTGATTCTCAATTATTTGATTCAAGTATTTAATAATACTTACTCGGAGCTGAGATTAAGGTGCCACTGCTCGAATGTCTCTTGTTTTTAAAGTGTTAAATTATATACTAGACTACAACAGCACAATGCCAAAGTGCAACAACACACACGCCCTCGAACCTAAAATAATCCTATCTGCGTTCCATGAGCATATTCCGTTTGTCGAAAGAGAGCCCTAGTCTCCAGTGGATCGTTGTCGCGGCAGCAGGGTGCGTCTCTATCTGTTACTTTACATGCGCAGAAGATAATGTCAATGAATACTGCGTCAGACAAGAGATCGACGCGCAGGAAGCCGTTGCTATTGGAAACGGAGAGGGTCTTCATGCTGACTACACAGTAGAGGGAGCAAGAAATAAAACTATAGATAGCGGTTATATCTTTGAACGTGTCAACCACAGCCTGTTAATATAGCTGTCTAAGAACAGCGTTAATACTTATGTTGTTTTTTTATTCTCATTTTTTAAGACAAAATCTGGCACGCCCTCGTTATTTTACATTCACTCCAGGGAAAAATACAAAATAAAAAGCAATTTGAAGCTTGAACTCTGACATTTCAACATTATTTACTCAAAATACTGTATCGACTTTAAGAAGTTTAAATTCTACAACGAAGTGAATAATAAAACATTTGGAATTATTTTGTATGGGAAAGAAACTTTGTATATTAGAAATTCTAAAAGTAAAATAACATGGAAAGTTGAGTGTGAACATTATTAATGTCTACCTAGATCTAAAAATATGGAAGAAATAAAGTCAAATAAAATAAAACAAATTAAGTTGAGGAAATAAAAAATATAAAATTTCCGCGCTTAATTCATTAACATATATCTATATATCCTGATAAAAGAGTTAGCACAAAGGCTCACAGATAATGTGTAATAAACTTAAGATAAGACTCAAAACTCGAGCGCTTTCGAATAGTTGACTATTCTTTTTCAGGAAAACAAAGTGGAATAGTCAACTATTTAAAAGCGCACGAGTTTTGGGTCTTATTTTATATAAGTTTAGTTATTAGTTTATATATCTATATATAATATTATCAGCTGTCTTTTTATAAACTCCCACACACTATAAATGTGTCATTTAAAAAGTAATGATGCAGTGCCTTTAACAACGACTTTCCCCTTTCAAGTTTAAAGGAAATAGTAAAATAGCAAGAAAATTAAGTAAAATTAACAGATGTTAATTCTAATAAGTTTATACATATCACACTATCCTGGAGCTTTTCTGGATCAGGTCATGGCCAAAATTGACGCTGTATACACATTAAGAATATCGCAACGAAGCGTTAGATTTAATTGTATGAAGCATTAACTTATTTAATTAGGATAGCAATTAAAACCCTCTTTTGGAGACATGTGACGAAGTCGTGCTTATAACCTAGTAAAGTTTCATATAAGCGGTTTAGTATTGGCAGTAAAGGAAATATCTGTGATGTAAAACTCACTTTTACATTAAATTAAATTAACTAAATTGGCTCTAACTGAATTCTAATATCATAAAAAAATGAGCAGATTTCCGTTCTCCCCCCTGTGGATCAGCTGTACATTTATCGACTTACAACGCTAAAACCCAGTGTTTGATTCCTCGTCGTGGATAAAGTGCATTTAGCAGACCTTTATTACGGTTATAGTTAGATCCGAAGGATTTCAGCCTTGCGGGTTGAATATTATCTTACGTCCAACACAAGTTCATGTACTTTAAAACAAAAACTGGTAAACATTTTCGACAGCTTCATTTTGATTGAGTCCCAAAACAGAAACGCAAGAGTCTTCGGAATGTTGTGTCCTTTGGCTCAACAACTTTTAATAATCTCGCTTACGAACATTTTTCCTTAGAATGCAAAACATGTCATTTTTGGCATCAGCCCTTGTATGTACAACGACATGACACTGTATTAGCATATGCCAATCCGTTTTACAGAGTGCTATTAAACCTCTGCATAACATTTATCAGAACCGTTTTTATAGATGGCGTCCACAAATCATTTGTTCCGAGTAACTACGATACTCATAAATAGAATAATAGTTTTGCTTCTATAAACGTGTCATAATTTAATTCCCTATGGAATATCTGTATTATCACGTAACAATACTTCAGTGCACAAGAGATGATGTAATCCTTATATTATTTGATTAATACGTATTCTGGTCAAAGGTTATATGAATTACAAAGATTTATGAGGAAATATTCTGCAATTAATTAAAGTGGAGTACATTAAGAAATCTCGCCTTCCCTGAACTGAATGAAAATGAAGACCAGATCAAGAAAATGGCTCTTCAGTGCATTCTACTGAAGCAGAGACATTTGTTCTGTAGAACTTTTAGAACAGCAACGTGAACTTAAAACCACATTCCTAAACCAATATGAGGCAAAAACTTAATTCTCAAAGAGAAGGCTATGGCTACAAAAGAGAACTTTCCAACCCAAAAAACCCTTACAGTGAAGCTGTGAAGATCTCTTTGTACCATTAGGTAATAAACAAGGGTTTGAAGTTGGTGAAAACTTATCACAAGCTTCTACTCATTCTTGGAAATCAACAGCTGTTTTCCAGAAAAAGACAGCTGGATAAACATGAATCACAGCAAATCTGTTCGGCTACATGCCTGAGACCTCATTCAATGTAGATTCACTGAAGAGTCTGTGTAAAGTTTATGAAAATTCGTTGTCTAAAACTGGGCTTGTTTTTGTTTTTTGTTTTTTTTTGTTGCAGCAGCTTGTTGCAGTGGAAATTGGTCTGTTAAGCAGTTGTTCCTAATCATGGTCATCGCTGTGAGCACAATCGAAGATAGAGGAAGTATTCCAGAAGGCAACACAATACCCGGAGCATCGTTATTACAACATGTCGTTAATTTCTTTGTACCAAGTACTTTCCGTTAAATATGTCTCCCAATAATGTTTTTACATTGTATTTTACTTCTGTAGCGATTTCTTTGTTGAAAAACAAACACGGCGATATAGCAGCGTTAATAAATGAACAATAATGTTGGCAAGGACATATAATCCACGTATGTCATGTTTTACTGTTAGTATGAGCGCTGTTGAAAATTATTTCATAACAGTTTTCTAAAATATGTTGTTTTTTTCGTGTTATCATTTGTCTTATCAGATTGTATTCTAAAACTAATTTCTAAGCTACAAAATTAGCACAAAAATTAGTTATCGTTTTCATGTCCCTGCATTTATAACTCGGGTGATGTTAATGTTCAACATTGTAGCAAATCAAATATAAGAGATTACAATTATTCTGGTTTATTTGATAAATTTCACTCAAAGCTACTAACAGTCTCTAATATTTTCTAGGAATGATGTTCCAGGTCCAGTGCTGCTATAACGCAAGTTTAATTTCTTTAATCAAGTTACGAACGGCAATTAGTAGGGCTACTTATTATCGTGCTCTAATGTAAATCAATGCCCAATTTAGGGTCCGCTTTTGGGGAATCCCCGTAAAAGTGTTTTCGCACAATACCCGGGTTCTCTAATGATTAGGGTCAAAAGTTTTACCTTTGTGCAAATCTGGGGGCCGAGATGATTCATTTGGAACTACTATAAATTTTCATTACATAGAGTTTGTTTGTTTGTTTTTAATTATGCACAAAGCTACACAAGGGCTATCTGTGCTCTGCCCACCACGGGTATCGAAACCCGGTTTCTAGCGTTGTAAGTCCGCAGACATACCGCTGTGCTACTGGGGGGCCATTACATAGAGAGGGAAAAACTCTAAGCCGTTAATATTTTGATCTTTTTATATGTTACCCGACCTGGCACGACTGGTGATTGGGGCGCTCGACTCGCAATCTGCGGATACGAATTCTCGTCACCGAATATGCGGTCAGGGTGTTATAATGTGAAGGAACAGCTAGTACAGATATCTCTCGAGTCGTTTTGCACGAAATTCAAACCAATATGTTAACCTTTCGACTATGGTCACAATTCTTGTTTGTTGGTATGGTAACAAGATCTGAACTTCTTCAGTTTGTTTGTTTGTTTTTGATTATGCACAAAGCTACCCAAGGGCTATCTGTGCTCTGCCCACCACGGGTATCGAAACCCGGTTTC